CAATAAAATGGCAGACCCAAAATACAAACAGTGCCACATTGAGAAATCTATCTGCTCCTGAGGAAAAAAAAAAAGATCCTCTCTAAGTGACACCAACACTGACTGAGGACGTACTATTGTCTCTTCTCTTAGTACCAGTTTATAAAATTCTCCTGAAAAAGAACTTACCACAGTTGAGCACTGTGGCTTATGCCTGTAATTTCTAGCTACTCAGGAGGCCAAAATCTGAGGATCATGGTTTGAATCCAACCCAGGCAGGAAAGTCCCTGAGACTCTTATCTCCAATGAACTACTAGAAAACTGGAAGTAGAACTGGGGCTCAAGTGATAGAGCACTAGCTTTGAGCACAAAAATTCAGGGACAGTGCCCAGACCCTGAGTTCAAGCCCCAGCACTGGTACCAAAAACAACCCAAACCAAAACAAGCAAACCTTACCACTGAGCAGTAGAGATGAAGAAGGTGCAGATGGTCCTTCCCCATCCCCACATCCTCAGCAAATCCCTTTTCTACTTATGGTCTGAAAAGTTTATTTTTGTGGTTTCCTATTAAGAACTCTTGTAGGAACACATAGGTCTGACCAGCCCTATTTAACAAACTGTAAAGGTCAATTAGCCTACTTAACGTGGTTCCGTAACAAGAGAACCCAGTGTTGCCCTCCCCCTCCTCATCTATTCCCTGTACCTCTAGTTGCTTTTTGGTTCCCTCCTGGCCGTGGCACACTTTCCAAACTGCCTGGCCTGGCCTAATTAGAAAGCCATTTTGTCACTTAATCAGACTGGGTTTCCTTTGGGGATAGGCCCAAATTAGGCTTCTTTTTTCTTTTATGCAGGCCCTGGGGCTTGTAGTTAGGACCTGAGTGCCATCTCTTAGCTTTTTTTCTTTTTTTTTCTGTTTTTTTTTCTCTCACGACTAGTGCTCTACCACTTGAACCACAGCTCCACTTCCATCTCTTTCGTGGTTAATTGAAGATAAGGTTGTCACAGTCGGGCAATGGTGTAACCCTAGCAACTCAGGAGGCTGAGATCTGAGGATCATGATTTCAAAGCCAGCCCAGGCAGGAAAGTCCGAGAGACTCTTATCTCCAATTAATCACCAGAAAACTGGAAGTGGCACTGTGGCTCAAGTGGTAGAGCACTCACCTTGAGCTGAAGAGCTGAGGGATAGCGCCCAGGCCCTGAATTTAAGCTCCACGACTGACCAAAAAAGTGTCACAGACCTTCCTGCGGAGATTGATCTTGTGTCACAATCCTTAGATCTCAGCCTACTGAGTGGCTAGAACTACAGGCATGAGCCACTGGTTCCCCAAGATGATTCTTTTCTACACTGACCTGTCACAGTTCACCACAGTTCAGTCCAAAGGAACCTGGACATGTTCCGCATCTGTGTTGTCCCAGATGGCACCTAAGGGCCATACAGAGCTAGTGCTTTCGTCCCAACCAATGAAAATAAGCTGGACTCTTTAGAGACAGGGTTTCACTATGTAGCCCAGTCTGACCTGGAACTCTTGATCCTCCTGTCTTTGCCTCCTGAGTGCTGAAATTATAGTGTGTGCTACTACATCTGGCTTGGGTAGAACTTTAACATGTACTTCATCATCTGTTCCTCTTTGGCTGTGTTAACCTTTCATTTAAATCTGTCTCTCCTCCATGTGGGGTCTTCCCTAAGCAATAGTTCCCAGTGCCCCACACCCATTCCATACTGGCATTATCGGGTTTGGAGTACGACTGTGACTCTACCCTTGTCCTCTGTGGCTAGAAGCCCAGTTTTGATGAGCTTTCCTTGGGGACTGTCTATGCCTCTTCACAGGACCCCCGATCCTCACCGTCTGAGCTATAGTGCAGACACCTGCTGTCTCCAGAAAGAACAGAAGCCTGTGGGGATTCTGGAGAGAGGGTGGGTGGGTGACTTAGCCATGGGCTGCCCACCAGGCCTGAGAATCACAGTTAGCTGTGGCAATGTCCCTTCTGCAACCCCTCTGAGCCCTTCCTGAAGATGCTGTAATTGTATCTCTGGATCGCCTGGAGCCCACTGGCAACTGGCCAGCCTGGGAAGGGAGCGGGGATGTAGGGTAGTAGGGGGAGGGTTGGGATGTCAGGGTTCGGTGGCTGAAGCCCCTGCTTGCCAGCCTCACCCTCTGCACCATCCCCCACCTCCAGCAGCCTCCCCTTAATTTTCCTGTCACACTTGGCACCCGCTGACAACACAGCTGTTCTTCTTTGCTCAGGGGCTGTGCCCTGAGCATGCTGAGGGCATGGGACATTCCCTAGGTGCTCGGGATCCAAATCGAGCCTCCTTCCCCCTCGCCCCTTCCTCCCTTCCTGACCCGCTGTGGATAGATCGCCTGGGGACAGGAAAGCAACCCGGAGAGGCGTGGGACAGACGCCAGGCAGCACGGAGGAGACACCAGGGGGCCTGGGAGGGACTCCAAGCCTCCAAGCCGAGTGTGGCAGCCAGGAAGACCATCCTGCCAAGTTCCCCGGGGCAGAACCTCCCCAGGACCAGCCTGGGCAGGGCGGGTGGGGTAAGGGGGTGGTGCCCATCCATCCCCTCCCAGGCAGCCCTCGGCGCTGGGCACCACCTCGGAGCCAAATTCAGCTCTAGCAAGAACTTTTTCTTATTGTTATTATTGTCAGTGTTCATTAACCTTCCCCTTACTCACCCTAGGCAGCTCATGGTAGCCGGTGTCGGTGGCTCCGGTGCTCGGGCTGCGCCCTCTCTCCCGGGCGGGGGACCGAGTGGCCAGCCCCGTCCCTGACATTGGCCAGGCCCAGAGGGAGGGGCAGGCTGCGGGGTGACTGGCAGCGAGGGGAGGGGGCGGGCTGAGCCGCGGAATGGGGGCGGGGCGGGGACAAGCCTTAGGCTCTGAAGGTGTTTAGGGGGGCTGTGGGGTGGGGGAGAAAGCCTGGCAAGACCCAGGCAGAACAACTCTCAGAAGGAGCCTGATGGGAAGTTGTCCAAACAGTGGAGCCCACAAGGCATGAAGGTGGGCTGGGGTGATTCCTGGGGCCACCTGTGGTCACCCCAGGTGAGAACCCACCAGTACTACCATTATTTTTTCCTTTCTAACTAACAAACTTAATGGTGAGTCTAAGGCAAAGCTGACCTGGTTCTAGGTCCTGTGATGGCAACTAATTGGCTGTGTGGTTTCTGGCCAGTCTCTGAACCTCTCTGAGATTAGTAGTGTGGCACAGAGTGAATTTAGTGACCCAGTGTCTCATCAGGACTTAGTGAGGTCCTTAGCACATACCTTTCACCATCATCAAAGAGCATAGTGGCTCACAATTTTATTTTAATTAATTAATTAATTTTTGCTGGCCCTGGGGCTTGAATTCTGGGCATGGACACTGTCCATAAGCTTCTTTGGCTCAAGGCTAGCCACTTAAGCCACAGCCCCGCCTTCTGGCTTTTTCTGAGTAGTTTATTGGAGACAAGAGTCTCACAGACTTTCTTGACCAGGCAGGCTTCAAACCACAATCCTCAGATCTCAGCCTCCTGAGTAGTTAAAATTACAGATATTGAGTCACATGTGCCTGGCAAGTGGCTCATGCTTTGAATCCCAGCTACTTAAGAGGAAGAGATAGGAAGATCGAGGTTCTAAGCCTGCCCAAGCCAAAAAGGGGAATCCTTATTTGGAAAAATAATTAAACTAAAATAAAAAAATTCTGGGTGTGTTTCTCAAGTAGTAGAGTATCTGCCTAGCAAACATGAGGTTCTGAGTTCAAACCAATATTGCCAAAATTAAATAAAATATAATAAAGGCACCCAAAGGGCAGAAAACAACAACTGCTTGTAGGATGAGGGTGAATGTCATGATTCACAGCACCTAAGCGTCCTGCCTTCACATTGCACCATTGGTCCCTCTTTGTAAAGAACCCAGAGCCAGTGGCTTACACCTGTAATCCTACCTACTCAGCAGGCAGAGATCTGGTGGATCAAAGTGTAAGGCCAGCCCAGGCAGAAAGTTCATTAGATTCCATCTTCATTATTATTATTATTAGATCATTTCCTTTTTTTTGTTGTTGGTCTTGGGGCTTGAACTCTGGGCCTGAGTGCTGTCTCTCAGCTCTTCATCTCAAGGCTAGTGCTCTACCACTTGAGCTACAGCACCACTTCTGGTTTTCTGGTCGTTTATTGGAGATAAGAGTTTCACGGACTTTCTTGCCCAGGCTGGCTTTGAATCATGATCCTCAGATCTCAGCCTCCTGAGTAGCTAAGATTACAGGCATGAGCCACCGGCGCCCGGCTATTATTATTATTATTATTTGATCAGTCATGGTACTTGAACTCTGGGCCCCGGGCTCTATCCCTCAGCTCTTCAGCTCAAGGCAAGCATTCTACCACTTGAGCCACAGCGCCACTTCCAGTTTCTAGTGGTGTATTGGAGATAGGAGTCTCAAGGACTTTCTTGCCCAGGCTGGCCTTGAATCCTGATCCTCAGATCTCAGCCTCCTGAGTAGCTAGGATGACAACCATGAGGTACCAGCCCCCAGCACGGTTCCATCTTCAAAATAATAAGCAGGAAGTGGTGCTGTGGCTCAAGTGGTAAAGCGCTAGTCTGGAGCTGAAGAGCTGAGGGACAGCTCCCAGGCCCAGAGTTCAAGCCCCACAATTGACAAAAAACAATAATAATAAGCAAAAATCAGGACCAGAGACAGGACTCAAGTGGTAAGAGAGCCAGCCTACAAACCCCAGTACCGCCATAAAAACAAACAAACCAAAGCAACCCAGGAGTATTTTGGTATCCTGTTGGGAGATTGGCACCAAGCAGGTGACATGACATCCTGAATGTGTCCTCTCTCAGGTCACTGCCCAGCACTGGTCACCATCCTGTAGGACGAGGCCCTGGCATCTAGCAACACCAACAGTTGCCTTCCCTGAGTGGTCTTTCTGGGCAGAATCTCCCCAAGCTGGCAGAATGTTCTGAGCTGGTGATGGGAGGGTGGCCAGTTCAGTGTGACGCCCACCCAGTCTCTGCCCATTTTGAGTCCTATCAGAAGTACCTGAGGTTATCCAGGAGTGGCCCCCATGCCTCTCCGGGCAGCGCCAAGGTGAGAGCCCACACCAGTTCATCCACCCGCTGTTCAGCTGCAAACTGTTTTAGAGCGATGAACACCTGCTCCTTGGCAATGGGCTGGTCCCCCAAGATTTCATCCACCTGCAAGGAAGGATCCAAGGCAAAACTGTACAGATTTACCCATTCCCCACCTCTTCCTCCCTCAGTTTACCTCCATACGGTAACTGACATGGGGAACACTTTGCCCATAGGACTTTATTTCCAAATTTATGGCTTCCCCCTATGTTATTTTCCTTTTTAAATCCAAGCAGAGTTGATAGAAACGAAGACTTGCAGGAAAGCAGTTTACAGGAGGGACAGTGCACAGTATCAATGTGGGTTGTGAAGTTATGGAATCAGGATCCAAATCCAGGGATGGCCATTGTAATAAAAATTCTAAGGATCAAAGGAGAGCTGGGTGTGGTGCTGTATTCCTGTAGTCCTAGAGTTCTGGAAGCTGTTGCAGAAGAGTCCAGGCCAGCCTGGAAAGAGGGAAGAAAATAAGGAAGGGAGATAGGAAACAAGGAAGAAAGGAAGGGAGAAAAGAAAGAAGGAAGGGAGGAAGAGAGAGGGAGAAGAAAGGAAGGAAGGAAGGAAAGAAAGGAGGAAGGTTGGGAAGGTAAAAAGGAAGCAGAGAGTAGGGGAAGGGGGAGGGAAGGAAAGATCAAATGAATCAATACAAGAGCTTATACATGTGACAGGCCCTCACTAATTGCTAGTTACTATTATTATAATACTATGCTGGGTTCTACGGCGCTGCTGGGAGGTCCCACAGAGAACATCCTGGCTCCATAAAAATGCTATACAGCACATGTTCCAGTCTTGAATTTTGACTTTCTCAGCTCTCCCTCCTGGGTTTCGTTTTTTTCTCCATGCACATCTATTCAGAGGATTCTGTGGCCATCAAACAAGAACCTGCAGATATACACATTTCTGGAATGTAGCCCTGTGTGTGTGTGTGTGTGTGTGTGTGTGTGTGTGTGTGTGTGTGTGTGTGTGTGCACATGTATGCATGCACAGTGGTACTGGGGCTTGAACTTAGGGCCTGGGCACTGTCCTTTAGCTTTTTCGCTCAAGGCTAGGGCTGTACCACCAGACCACTCTATTTCTAGCTTTTTGCTGTTTATATGGAGTCTCACAAACATTGCTTCCCAGGCTATCCTTGAACTTAGATCCTCAGATCTCAGGCTTCAGAGTAGCTAGGGTATAGGTGTGAGCCATCGGTGCCCAGCTAGTCAACCTTGGTCTGAGTCTTCTGCACTGATTCTGTGAACTGAAAATCAGTTCCTACAAATTCCTTTCCTGCCTGTCAGTGAAGTCAACATCCATTTTTGTTTTTGTTTTTTTTTTCATTTACATTACTAGAGTATGAACTCAATGCCTTCCATTTGCTGGGCAGGTACTCTACCACTTGAGCCACCTCATCAGCACTTGTTGAGTTTTGGTTATTTTTGGGGGGGAGGGGGGTCCAGTTGTGGGGCCTGAACTCTGGGCCTGGGCACTGTCCCTCAGCTCTTCAGCTCAAGGCTAGCACTCTGTCACTTGAGCCACAGCGCCACTTCCAGCTTTTTTTTTCTTTTTGCTTATGTGGTGCTGAGGAATCAAACCCAGGGCCTCAAGCATACAAGGCAAGTGCTCTACCACTGAGCCACCTTCCCAGCCCTGAGTTTTGGTTATTTTTGAGGAAAGGTTTTGTTTTGTTTTGTCAGTCCTGGGGCTTGAACTTACAATCTTGGAGCTATCCCTGAGCTTTTGTATTCAAGGCTAGCTCTCTACTATTTTGAGCCACAGCCCCACTTCTGGCTTTTTGTGGTTAATTGGGGATAAGGAATCTCACAGACTTTCCTGCCTCAGCTGGCTTTGCACTAAAATCCTCAGATCCCAGCCTCCTGTGTAGCTAGGATTACAGGCTTGAGCCACCAGCACCCAATCACATTTTTAAAAAAATAGTTGGGCCAACCTGGACTGTGATCCTCCTACTTGGGAATCTTTGTGTCTCAGGGACAATAGGAATGATGCCACCACATCCAACACGGAGATGGACATTCTCACGTGTTTTGCTCAAGTTAGCTTCAAACCTCTATCTTCCTGCTACCTGCTACTCATTTGCTCCCCAGATCTAAATAAACTCACCCCATTAGGGAGCCTTTCCTGACTACTCTTCCAAAGTAGTGTCTTTTACTTTCTCCTGTACTCCATTCCCTTACTGGTCATTTTTTGGAATTTTGCATTTATCTACTTGTCCATTTGTTTTTGTTTTTTGGGTCCGGTCGTGGGGCTTGAACTCTGGGCCTGGGCGCTGTCCCTCAGCTCTTCAGTTCAAGGCTAGCGCTCTACCACTTGAGCCACAGCGCCACTTCCTCCATTTGTTGATTGTTGTGTTAGTTGTAAGGGACCAGGCTCTTTGTTAGTGTTGGTGCATGCGTGTATATGTGTGTGTGTGTGAGAGAGAGAGAGAGGAAGAGAGATAGAGAGAGAGAGAGAGAGGGAGAGAGGGAGAGAGAGAGAGAGAGAGAGAGAGACTAGGGATTGGACCACTTGGAAGTTGGCCCTCTACCTTTTGAGCCATGCACCCATGACTTTTTGCTTTGTTTTTCAAGTACATTATGCTTTTCCCTGGGCCACCCTTGGACTATGAACTTCCTACCTCTGCCTCCTGAGTAGCTGGGATTATAGATATGTGTTTGATTTTTTTGTTTTTGTTCGTCGTGGGGCTTGAACTCTGGGCCTGGGCGCTGTCCCTCAGCTCTTCAGCTCAAG